CTGGCCTAGGGGTATTTTAAATTGGTTTTTAACAAAATTTTTAGTATAAGCGGCCTATTGAATATCTATTTTTAATTACTTTTAAATTTTGTATTATATTGTATTATTGTTTTTAAGTTGGCTGTAAGCCGCCCTGAGTCCTCCGGGAGAAGGGCGGGGTATAAATTTAATAAAACTAAAACTAAAACTAAAACTAAACCAGATCACGGTAGGATTCGGTTATTGATGTCATGTATTGAAGCTGAGAGGAGGACATTTGTCAGTGTGTTATGTGATCGTTGTCAAGTTGGTTGGGGTTTTTTGTGTTCTTTCATTGTGTGAGCTTGTGAAACGTAATAAAATTAAAGTCATGGTGCAAAGAGTTGACCGGTCGCCCAGAAAGCGATGTAAAATAGAATTATTAAGTGAACAAGGCTACAGTTATAAAGAAATTAGAAGAAAAATGGGTGGAAACTTCACATTCATCATCATCAGGCTTGTGCTTTTAGCTTTGTGCTTCTCAGAAGCACAAAGCTAAAAGCACAAGCCTGATGATGATGAATGTGATTTCATCGAAACGTCGCTACGATACTTCTAATCTTACACGGGAGAAAACCCGAATGACCAAAGACTCACATATAAACACCCGTGAAAACCTCAAAAAACATATATATATATATATATATATATAGGTGACTTAACCAAGTAATGAGACAGCACTAAACAAACAGGGGGCAGAAGATCAGAGAAGTAACGTAAAGAACAGGACTAAACTGTTGCTAACAAAGACAAGGGGGAATTCTGTATGAAACATTATAGTTAGTCCTTGACGTACGACCATAATTGACACCCCCCCCCCAATATTTCTGTTGCTAAGCAAGACAATTCTTGAGTGATCTTTTTCCCATTTTACCTTTCTTGCCACCGTTGTTAAGTGGATCACTAGTAACACGGTTGTTACAGGAATCTGGCTTCCCCATTGATTTTTGCCTGTCAGAAGGCTGCAAGAGGGGATCACGTGACCCCGGGATGCTGCAACCGTCATAAGTACATGCCAGTTGCCAAGCCTCAGAATTTTGACCATGTGACCACGGCGATGCTGCAACGGCTGGGAGTGTTCAAAATGATCGCAATGCCACTTTTCCCAAGTGCTGCTGTAACTTTGAACCGTCACTAATTGAACATGTTGTAAAGCTGAGGACCGCCTGGGCTTTTAACGTGGAATGGGAATGTTATGATTATTTCCAAGGTTTACTATATTATACAAACTCGGTTTCATTATTTAGTGCTGCAGTGGTCGTTAAGTGTGAAAAACGGGCATAAGTCACTTCTATTAGTCCTGTTGTGGCTTGAAACGGTCACTAAATAATGGTTGTAAGTCAAGGACCGTGTAGATCAATATCCAAAACCAGTAAATAGAGGATGTATATTAACAGAGGGATAGAGTCAAGATCACGTGAAGTGTTAATACCACTTTACAACGCCTTGGTAAGGCCACACTTGGAATACTGCATCCAGTTTTGGTCACCACGATGTAAAAAAGATGCTGAGACTCTAGAAAGAGTGCAGAGAAGAGCAACAAAGATGATTAGGGGACTGGAGGCTAAAACATATAAGGAACGGTTGCTGGAATTGGGTATGTCTAGTTTAACGAAGAGAAGGACGAGGGGAGACATGATAGCAGTCTTCCAGTATCTCAGGGGCTGCCCCAAAGAAGAGGGAGTCAAGCTATTCTCCAAAGCGCCTGAAGGCAGGACAAGAAGCAACAGGTGGAAACTGATCAAGGAGAGAAGCAACCTAGAACTAAGGAGAAACTTCCTGACAGTGAGAACAATTAACCAGTAGAACAACCTGCCTCCAGAAGCGGTGAATGCTCCAACACTGGAAATTTTTAAGAAGAGACTGGACAGCCGTTTGTCTGAAATGGTCTAGGGTTTCCTGCCTGAGCAGGGGGTTGGACTAGATGACTTCCAAGGTCCCTTGCAACTTTTTTATTATTATTATTATTATTATTATTATTATTATTATTATTATTATTATTATTATTATTATTATTATTATTAACAACTTTTATTTCATGACCAAGAATAATGCACTTTTATTTAAGGATAAAAGACTGGCATAACGCTAAAGCCTTTCAGGAATATTGAAAAACGTTATGAAACTTTTTGTATCATTTTGACATGGAAATCCAGCTGCAATCTCAATCCCGTGAAAGCAATATCAGTCTTACAATGTGGCTTATTTGATAAGTTCTATTTAGAGGTAGAAGACACAGAGGCGGGTGTCTTGGAGATAGCTCTAGTTATTTTCTCATCCTAAAAACCTCATCGTTCGCTGAAGGAAAAAAAAAGTGTGAGTTTAACATTATTTGATAGGAGTCACAGAGGAAATTCCCGAACAAAAGGGAAGAGTAAGCAATGCAGGCAGAATCCAACCAAAAATAAATAAGTACAAAGGAAATGGAATGACTTACGGGACAGTAAACAAAACCATCACTTTTGGCATCGACAAAAACCAATTTGGTTCCGTTGGGATCTGGGAAGATTTTTTTCACGCCAACCGAATGCTGATACTTGTTGACATATTGCCAGTCTTCAATGTAAAAATACTGAATGAGGCCAGTCTAATAAACAGCGAGAAGGAAAGGAAGAGAGAGTAAACAAACATAATAGTAAGAGATGAATTTATCAAAATACAAATCGTACACATTATAAATGTATCATCTGTTGTCTATGTGTGACTTGCAAAAGACTTTTAATCTGAAAAATATGCCGAACATCAAATATATACCCTTCAAGATTTATAGGAGGATACCTTACAGGGCTTTCTCCTGCTTGAGCAGGGGGCTGGACTAGAAGACCTCCAAGGTCCCTTCCAGCTTCTATTCTATTCTATTCTATTCTATTCTATTCTATTCTATTCTATTCTATTCTATTCTATTTTACATTCCTTCTATTCTATTCTATTCTATTCTATTCTATTCTATTTTCTATTCTATTTTCTATTCTATTCTATTTTCTATTCTATTTTCCATTCTATTCTGTGTTCTATTCTATTCTATATAATAGATAATAGATAAAGAAGGCAGACCATGAGATTCAAGGACGAGGCACCAGATGTCTGACCCGGCGCAGAGACATTTTCTCATA